AAAAGGCGCTGGACGCCAGTTTGAATGGCGGGGATGGCAGTAACGGGCTCAATTGGACAGTGTGGACGTACTGTGCGGATCACACGCATGATTGGGGCGATGGGTGGAACATGGAGGATCTCAGTCTCTGGAGCGCGGATGACCTGCCGGAGATGGACGAACAGGAGCTGGGGATGGATGGATCCCTTAATGCGGACGAAGACGACCCCTCGGCCCTATACGATCCAATGGTGGCTGGGAGCCGTGCTGGGCTGCTGCGCAACCAGAGTAAGCCCAATGTAATTAACAACCACGCTCCGAAGCGGAAGTCCGGGCTATCCACTCCCACTGCCGTGACAGTCGCAGCTGCTTCGAGCCTCAGCCTCGCCACGCTGGGGTCCATTTCCCTCCCCGAGAAGTATCAGCCCCGACAACGACAGCCCCGTCTCGAGGACTGGATTGCGGACCCTTACGGCTTCCTCACCTCCGGCGCACGCGCCGTCCGTGCCTTCTGCCGTCCATGGCCAACGAAAGTCGTCGGCGTCCCCGCTGACATAAAGTTCGACATCGCGAAGGCGACCTTCAAGCTCGTCGTACGCGTGGGGGCGGAGGACGCGGCGTCTGCGCTGGCTCCCGGCGAGGAGGACGAGGACGAGAAGGGCGCGCAGAGGAAGGCGACGGAGATCTTTGTGCCGCTTGTGCATTTCGGTGCGACGGATGTCGTGCGTGTGGGGGGATGTGAAGGGGCAGGACGGAGTGGGAATGAAAGTGGAGACGAGAGTTGCGCGGTGGTTTCGAGTGGGAAGAGCAGTGCGGTCGGCTCGCGGTGGGCATCGACGGTCGACCTCCCCGGCTCTCTGCCGATGTCGGACCTGGATGGGACCACGCAGGGTAGTGAGGTGGACCTAGAGGAGACGCGCACGCTGGTGGATGTGTCGGTGAAAGTGAGCGCGGGGCGGTGGAAGGTTGAGGGACAGACGCTCAGATGGTGGTATGATGTTCCCAAGGCTGGGAAGGGGGTGAAGGAGTATACCATCGAGATTAAGCGCAGGGCGGGCGTCATAAAGCCACTTGCCGTCAAGAGGGGACCTCGACGGGACAAGAGCTGGTGCGAGCGGCTGTGTGACCAGCCTGGGTGTTGCGTTATGTGATTTTTCTTTATTCATGACATTTTTCCTTCTCCCTCATCCTTCGCATGGCAATTATCCTGTATGTATCATATGAACTAGCGCTAACGGTACCTTATTCGAACGGACGGTTAATATCACGCACGCACGCACATACATATTTCTCATTCTCTTCGTCTGTATACAGCAATCCTTGTATTCTAAAACTAGTGTATTAGATGCATAGCAACGTACATTACAGTGAGTGGTCTAAGTTGGGATGTCTCTTTCCGGCAAAGTTGACGCTACGGTGAGGAAGAGTCTGTTTCCGAATCATTGGTATCTGGTGCGTCTATTGGGGTATGATGTGAGGGATTTGAGCCATCGTTCGGTCTTGGAATCAGTTGTATCCGAGGGAATTGTAGTGGTGTATCCTCGAACTCGGCCCAACCACCACGTAAGCCAATCTCTACAACTCGTTGTAGAATACGAGATAATTCGTCATTTCTGTGGTATCAAAAAAGGTCTGGTTAGCGCAAATGGTGCTTGAAATGCACATGGACGCACTTTTGCTTCTGATATGTGAGCTCCTCTTCCCACCGCACTGTAAGGTCGTCCACACGCGTCGTGAGCTCAGTGACTTTGGTGCCTAGCGAATCGAGCTGGTCGTCGACGTTGTCACGTCGTTTGGACTGGTTCCGGGAAGACCGCCATGATTCTCCGATGATCAGACCAGCAGCGACGGTGAAAAGAAATCCTTCCGCAAGTGCGTTGGCACCATTCTCTATCGCTCTATCCAATGAAGAGGTTCAGGACGAATCAAACACATGCGAAGGACACACACCGTGTTTCGGAAAGTGGCCTGATGTGTTTTGCAGGTTCGCCCATAATATTGGTGCGCAACTTCACCTCAGAACGATATAGAAGCTGAGCAAGGCTCACGCAGAACTCGCGAAACCTCGCATGCCTACATTGACAGTGAGGTGAGATACTGAGTCTAGTGTTGACCTGACATACTGTGTTGCCTGGGCTTTGAGTTGTGAGCTAATGGGTTTCGCTACTGTCTGCGGGCTGTCAGTTAAAAGTTGAAAAACAACTAATAAGGCCTACGCGGATGACTAGAGTGGCAAGTTTGACCGACGCCATCTATGTAAAGAAATGTTCAAAGTTGGTTGTTGTGGGTCAAGAATCTATCGCCGAATGATCGACTCTCGGCACGGCCTGCGCGTTGTCGCGGCTCCCGGCTCCCTCGAAAATCCGAACAGTCAAAGTTTTATTAGGTATTCACTGAGCATTTATCTGATCATATGGGCCGAAAGGCTACTACACCAATTCTAGCTCTGTAAAGAAACATATCATACTGCCATCATATCCGAGTTGTTGCCACGCGAGATTCACATTGTCCGAGGTTCTGAAGTTGGACACGTCTGTATAGTAATATCATCCAAAATTATGTGTTACTTGTATGGCCCCCGATCCTCATTCAGTGAGTCTTGCGGATGTTTAGACCTGGTTCGACGCTCATACAAGCGCCAGTGATCACTGGGCGTATTGCCTGTAGCGGAGCGCGTATGAAGTACAGTAGTACCGTACCGCCGCACTTGAATCATCTCTTTGTTCACCTAAAACATTTTTGGCAGAGTTGATCAGTGAAAGGCCGCAGAGATCACTGTTTATAATACACCCACATGAACGACAGCTGCAGCCTGCAAATCAAGGAGATTTCTGCTCAAAGGTCAATCTGGCTGCACAAATCAAAATTGGAGTGCTGCAGACACACTGAAGCAGATAAGCTCAAATCAAGGCGAAAATGTATGAGCTCGTGCTTGATAATCCGACGCTCGTATATGATATCCCTGCCAATTTCTGACCACCCGAGGGCCTCATACATACTGATGGCAACATCATGAAAGTCCGTTGTCGTCAGATGAATACTTGGGATACGACGATCCTGGGCGTGGGCCAGAAGGGTCCGGACTAGTAGCCTGGCGATGCCTTTCCTTTGGTGATGGGGGGAAACGTTCATTCGACGGAGTTCTCCGTGAACGACGCCGTCTTTGATACTGCAATCTATAAACACTTCAGTATACACCTTAAAGATCGTCAGGAGACCTTACCGAGGCCAACACATCCAATGATCTCAGTATCACCTTTTTCTGGTCGATCGCATTCCACAACCCAGAAAGCACTGGTGTGAGAGGGTACGAAATCCTCGCTCTCGTCCTGTGAAGGCTCCATCTGGTAATGGGATGCTATGTCCGCAAGATCCTCCGTAAGGCATTTGTCGAAGAAATCGGTGAATGACCTCGACAGGAGAAAGCGGTATACAAGGAGTAAACCTAACACAACGGAAGAGAACAGCAGGCCCAAAACCATGGTTTTCAGGGAGCTTGAGACGATAGCCATGGCAAATCCACTGAACATCGTAAGATAAACGATTTGAGCCGCAGGGTTGACCATCAATGCCTCCACAGCAACGCGACGAGGGGCACCAGCTATACGAGGTCGGGTTATGTAGTGTCTTCGCGTCATCAAATAGGAGGACGTACGGCCATTCGACATTGTATACACAAATAAACCGCGCACCTGATCCAAATCCGCTCTTCGAAAGAACCTGATGCGGACGCCTGTGTCCATAGCGGGCGAAATCAGTTGTGGTTTGTCCTAGGTTTGACAACGGTTTTATAAACATTGATAACGAGGTCAACCCCTTGGGACACTGTTTTCGGCGATAAAATACTGTGCATAAAGCCACCTTAGATTGTTCTCCGTAAGATTGTTATCACTGCGCAGTTGGTGGTCGAGTGGTGGTCAAAAAGTCAAGTTCGCCGTGGTTTCGCACGGGTTCACGCGGCGTTCACGTTCTCTCTTGACCACCACCACCATAGCGTCTATCTATGGCTACAGAAAATAGCTCCTATCCGACGATAACGATTGACTTGGTGCATAGCGGTTGGAAAAGCATCGGAAGCATGCCTGACTGGCGATGCGTATTCTAGGTTCTGGATCGGCTCACGGCAAAGGATGTCTTGCGAGGCATGCTGCATTCCATCTTGTTTCATCGGTCGTTTGGGACCGTAAAGCCTCAAACTTTTGAGGTTCTGGACGTGACGATGGTGTGTTTTGATATGGCGCAAGCAACTATCAACTAATGGCGAATCAGCCTGGGGTGTCCGACGCGGAGACGGAGCAACTTATTAACGATAAAGTTGATGCGTTTTGGAAAGGAATTGAAGGCGGTACAGGTAGACGTGGCCAGGTTCGATGTGTTTTCAGTCATTTAAATACCCCACTGACAATATGTTGTTCTAGATAAAGGTTACGTTTTCAGAAAAACGTCCCAAGAAATCATGGTTCCAGGTTTATATGGGAGAAGAAGACGTACCATGGGAACAATGGTACGTGCATTCCAAACAGAATTGTCTTCAACTTACTTTTTATCAAGGATAATCAATGCTCAACTGCGACAACCGACTGGAGACGCAGGTAAGGAAGTACGTGCCTTTCACTTGATTCAATTGTCTAAATACACCTTTTGCCAATCCAGATCGACAAGCCTATAACGCAAAACTCGCAGAAACCCTTTCACAGGCCGTTTATATGATGCTCACCCACACCTCATCAGAGAGGGGCCGTGCAGCTGTGCCTCTTATCACGAATGCTTCAGGGATCTCACCATTTCCCATAGACATATCTGTCATCGTTGGTGGAGTCGAAGTTGGATGATCTTTCAACTATAAGCATTACAAGTCCTGAGCGCGAGTTGTATACCGATGCTTTCCTTTTATATATACATAATGATACGGGTTATGATACCGTTATCATAGATCTTGAAACTACTCTGGCCATATCGGAAGTAATGTTATGAGGCCTACTGTGATGTAAAAACAAAGCATCAATTTTCATCTCAACTAATGACCGAGACAGGGGTCGAACCTGCAATCTCCTGATGCCCAATCCTAGAATTCGTAGTCAGACGCGATGCCATTTCGCCACACGGCCATATATCACCCTTACCTTTTGAAGTCCATAGGGCTCGCGAGGTTGTCGCGAGGTTTTTCCCGTCGGATAAAATCCGATCAAAAAACATTGATTGACGCGTTGGCCGGAAGCAATTCACTGAACGATTCGTTGTTCTCTCAAATGTCTGTAGACTCGGACGACATCTGTATAAACATCTCCAACAACCCAGACCTCTACTTTCCTGATGGAAACCTCGTTATTCTCACCCGAGACCATGCAGGAAATCACACATATTTCCGTGTCCACCAATCCATCCTATCAAAACATTCAAAAGCTCTGAGTGACCACATTTTCCCCGACTCATCACCAGCAACACGAGAGATATACGACGGTGTCCCACTTGTTGAGTTCCAAGAAGACCCTCAAGACCTCAACATCTTCCTAAAATTCCTCTATGAGCCGTTGTAAGTTCTTACTCGGAGACGCTCGGGGACTCTGCCTCTGATACTGACCAGCTACGTATTCAGCGCAGCTCCAATACAGAGAGGAGACCCCGATATAGCCTTCAAGATGTATGGGGCATTGAGACTTGCCGATAAGTTTCTCATTGATCCTCTGAAAGACACTATTCTTTCCTACATCCGAGAGGACTGGCCAGTGTCACTCCAAGCGTGGGATGAGCGCGAGGCTTTCTACTCACGTCGTCTTAAAAGCTCTCCGACCTCCACCATGGACGACGTCGCTCCGGAGCCCGCCTCAGTTATCCGCCTCGCACGCAAGTTCGAACCCCGAATATTGACATTGGCCTTCTACCACCTCTCGCGCCTCCCGGTCAACGCGACCTACGGTCAGCACAACCAGGCCCCGCGCCATGCCCGGGGCGTGCGTGGACACCTGCTAACGCCGGCGGACCGCGAAAAAGTGGCCCTGGGCCGCGAACGGATGTTGCGGTGGATATCCGACCGCCTGGAGTCGCTCGCCCTCGATACGTGGCAGTGTAAGGCAGAGGAGGGGTGCCATGCGCATATTTACTGGCGGGTAGTAGTGCTGCATCGCTCCATCATGCGCAGCATGGATGTGCTGACTACACTGCGGTCAATGCGAAGTCATAAGATGGAGAGGGGGACGAGTGACCTGGTGGAGGATGCAGTATGCCAACACTGCAACGCGAGATGGGATGCGATACTCAATGATGCGCGCCGCGACTTCTTTGATTCTCTCCCTTCTTTCTTCCCTGACTTATGATTTTTTGTATTAGAATTTTTCGTCGTCGACGGCTGGACATATGATCATTATTCACTTATGACAATCTCCCTCTCCTCCGAAACACAATACTATCCACTTCTATCGTCGGTGAACCCGAAAAGGATTGTCCGTTCATGTCCTGAGCTTAGGGTCGCCTGACTTACAGTGCACCCTTCCTGGATCCATCATCTCCGCCAAATGTGTCGCCATGGTGTGGTGGCGGCTCTTTTGACTTTGTTCCCTTCTCAGATTAGCTCCGTCTTGAAGAGGGGTCTCAGGGCACGAGGATCGCTTCCTGCGTAACAGCGACAAGCATGTACTACATATGTATCCTCAAAAAACTTAACCTACTCCACAGTCACGGTTCTAAGCCGTGGCCAGCAACATTCTATTGCCAATTGGATCTCAACAGGCTCCGCTATTTCTTCCACTGGGGACCCTGGCTAGACATTGATGTAGCAATTGACCTCTTCGTCGCCAAAAGCCTCCACGCTCCACTGCTTCATGCACATCTCGGGCTCTGTCTGGAACACTTTCATCTCCACTATACTACAAACAACAACGGGTTGCTAGCCCCTCTTTCAGTTTGACTTTCATCGTTTCCATCTAAGCCTTCGGTACAGGGGTGTTATGTGGAGATCTAAAAAACTTCACAGCTATCTCAATGGGGCAAGGCAAGGGTAACTCAAAAAACATGGCCCCACTGGCTACGGGTTCATGTCTTCGTGTCGCTTGCAAACCGGGCAGTCGGGCAGCTAGCTTCTCTTCTCGATGCTCGTTCTCTTCATAAAGTCCATGTGTGTTCATTGAAACAGGCGTTGTCAAGAGTTTTCCGAGTCAACTTGGCAGGCAATTGTTGGGCAATTGCGAGGCTTCATTCAACTGACGCAGTATGCCTAAAAATAGCTTTGATGTGTGCTAAAGTCACCAAAATAGAATTTAGTTACCGTACCAGTCGTCTCAGCGCAGTGCGCGCAGCTTGATCTCGTCCATGATCACCGGCATAGTCCCCAATCTGTCCGTAACTCCTGCACATCGCGCGAATCGCTTTGCTGTGGGATCACAGATCTCAACCTCATTGTGGCCACAATCCCAACGTTTTGGCATTTTTGATTCCTGAAGGCCAGAGCCGGAGCTTCGGCCTCGACTCAATCTGCAAGGATGAAACATTCAAATACAAGAAAGTCGCATCTAGCATTGATATAATGATTGTATATTGATCCTTTGAACATCGCACGAGCGTAGTAACTCGCTCAATCTCTCTTCCCGACAACCCGACAAGGACACGGATTTTACAACCCCCCGGCCGGCATGCGACTAGCCAGTTCTATATAGCCGTCTCCGTTCTGACCTTTCAATAGAATCTTCAACACCGCCTTCCGACGAGTTCGCTATTGTCGAATCCGGGCCATGCTTGGTCTATAAAGCAACACAAATGTCTGTGTAAGTTCATTCTATCCCTCTCGTTCACCAAACTCATGACGACCCAGACCATCAACTATGCACAATATTTGGGCATAAACTCAGTGGCCGCAGCTGTCATTTTTGCAATCGGATACATCCCTCTCTTCGCGTGGTTCATCCTCCAGACGATCAGACGACCGACATATGTTTTTGGTGTTCTATCATTGTTTTGTCTTAGTGAGTTGACGTATATCTATATTTCCAATCCGTGAATACTGAAGGTAAACACAGTACGCATAACGGCGTTCATAATTCGCTCCATTCTAGCGGGTTCGGAATCTGCGGGAGAGACTCTTGATCTTTACATTGCAGACCAAGTACTCTTTGGAGTGGGATTCTTCGGTCTCCTGTACTCAGCGTTCACACTTGTTCTTGACCGGTACGGCCTTTTTTCTTATCGCAAGATCATTGGTGATTAACTTTTGATCAGTTGGCAACTCAGCAACGCGCCGTCCGACCAAAGTGCCATGCGCATCACTCAAGACCGAAGGCTTTTCAGAGTGGTTATGCTGGTTGCTGTTATTCTTGGCATAATCGGTGCAACAAAAGCAGACGACACCGATCCAGAGAACGGCAAGACCTACAAGATTGCCAGTACCGTCATCTTCCTCGTCTTGACTATTCTTATGGCAATCCAAGCATTACGCCTGACTCTCTTTGAACGTAAGCGCACCCCTTAACTTTGAATCTCTCCTGTGGCTCAGTAGCATTTAGGGAAATTGGGATACAAGGCCTCTGGAGAGAGATCGTTAGGTGGCGAACATGGCGTCTACATCCTCTGTGGTATTGCCCTGTTCCTTCTCGTGCGCGAAGTATTTGCCACGGCAACACTTGGCAGTGCATCGAAGCAAAATAACGAGCACCTTTGGTATCCCTTGTATGCTTTACCTGAGATACTTGCGGTCATGTTATACGCCACACCGGGCCTTGTTCCACCTCGTTCTGAGCTAACGAACCAGGCCATTTAGAGAGGCCTGTGAGGGTCATATCTCTCTAAAATAGCACTCCTTATCATTATTGAACAACTAAATAGATATATCCTACTTATAATACATGCAGCGTGTTGTTACCCGATACACTTGTGCAGAATACTGTCGTCAGTAATGTCTGACATTTTAGAGGTTTTTACCTGCGTGAGTTTACACATATTCTGTATGCACTTCTGTGAGATATGTAAAACAGCTTCCCTTCTCCCGTCATTGATTACTGAGGTCTTGTAGGGTGGACGAGTCTAAAAATAGGTGGATTGATGGCCGGATGATTCGCGCGGCGCGCCCACGCCACCATCAAGCGCCTGAAGCACCACATGATCATAATTTTGACTTCGAACTGCGCCAATCTCCCTTCACCTATTCCAGTCCACTGGCCTGCGACGTTTGAAACCTCTGGGGAATGCTGCATTATGCGAGTACTGTGCTATCTATCTTGATTAGGACCGTCAGCATTGCGGCACCAGACCGGCTGTGGACGAACTCGATCACAGATTCTCGTCTGCTGTACAAGGGCGATAGCTATACGGCCAGATTTCCTTCAAGCCTCACTGTGCAAACCGTCGGATCGGCACTTGAGTAGCACCCTGGCGGTATCTGCCCAGTTGCACTGGCTAATATCATGGATCGACGATGTGTTCTATTTTAGGAGTTCGGTGTGTGATCAAATAGATCTACGACCCTCGAGACTCGAGGCAGAGCACTGCCTCAGTCTCACGAGGCACTGCCCTCGTTGCCGAGAGCTGCGGGACTGGGCCCATTATAAGGCGAACGATTTCCTGCTTGCATTTACCCATATTTCCTCCTCAATTTGTACTCGATACTTATGTCGGCCACGCAAGCTGGAATCAATTATGCCAAGTATTTGGGCATCAGCTCCGTAGCTGCTCCAATTGTTTTCGCCATCTTATACGCTCCTCTGTGCGGCTGGTTCGCGTGGCAGTCGATCAGACGTCCAACTTATGTTTTCATCGTCCTCTCAATATTCTGCCTCAGTAAGCCATTTAAGCTATGTTCTTTCCTTTTCCCGAGGCTTAACTATCCTCAGTACGCATCGCTGGTTTCGCGATTCGTGCCAGCCTAGCTGGGCTGGAAGCTGCGGGGGAGAATATCAATCTTTACATCGCAGATCAAGTATTATTTAGCGTTGGGTTCTTTGGCCTCTTGTATTCCGCATATACCCTTGTGCTCGATCGGTATGTCTCTCGATTTCCCCATCACGTTATTGGAGAGCTCAAATAATGTATAGATGGCAACTTACGGACGAGCCGAAAAACCAGAATGGTCTCCTGCGCCTCACCCAAAACCCCAGGTTGTTCAAATTGATTCTATTGGCGGCGG